GCAGGAACTGTGTATGTTACGATGATTGAGATTGAGACTACTAAATAATTTCACTGATGACAAAGTGCAAAATTACTTTTTATTGCTTTAGCAGTGCCCTTCATAAAATGCTGAATATGGAAAAGAAAAAATCTCCTGCATGATGTTAGGTTATAAATATTCAGATGCATAACTGAAGATGCATATCTTTAGACCTTATTCTGTTTCCTTTAAAAGATGGATGAAATAATATTCTAGAACACTGAAACAGCCTGGAAATAAATGAATAAACTGTAAATAATTTATTATATTGAGGGAAAGTAAACGAAAGTTCTGTGCTAGAAGAGTTAAAGGACTATGTATTGATTATCAGAAAAAAAACAGCCTGTAAAGAAGTTTTCCTCAAATCTGAAAGAAAGCTCTATCTCACAATGACACCACGTTAGAGGTGTGATGTGAATGTTCTTACAATTTCTGCATCTTAAGAGCATTATGAAAAATATTTTATAAAATATTAGTGTTGAGTTGTGGAGGTACAAAGCAAAGTGGTTTGCAGATTAGAAGCAATTTCAGGATATATTTTTATTTCAAACTGTCTTTCCTCACTTCTATATAAGGCTTCCTAATTTGGGTTCTTATATTCCTTCTACCATAAAATGTATTAATGACATCATTAGTAATACCTAGCCATGAATCCATGAATCATAAAAAATAATGAAAAAAGATTGATTGTATAATCACTCTTCAAATTAATAATTCTATTCAGTCTTTTATAGGTTTCTTGAGGGTTCATTGTTTTCTGTCCTTTTAAACCACATCTATCTGTTAAGTTTGCAGTGATTATTATGCAGTAATAAATTTGTACTCCAGTGCTGGGGGCCTAGGAGATCTGACTTTGTAAAGAGGTATTTTTATTATATCATACTTTCTGATAAATCAGGGGACAAAGGCAGTTGGACCCTGAGTCAAAGTCCAGTTAAACAATTCAGTAATTTTTCAAGTATGCAGCCATATAGTGCAAGCAGCTAGAGGTTGGGCTGACAACTGAAGTGTCAGTTTAACAGCTGCTTCATTTCACTATCTCTCGGCTCATAAAGTTTATTTTTAATGAGTCTGCCTGTAAGACCACTAAAAAATGACCTTCACAGAGAACTACAAGGACCCACAGTGGTGGCCAAAATAGCTTTCTTGGGCAGTGTGTAATATCAGGCTGACCATAGCACAGAAAATAGGCAGTATGATGAGAAAGACATTATACTAACTCTTGATGAGAATATACCTACGACCTGAGGACCTCGCTGCCACTGTCCAAGCTCACTCGGCCCCGGCAGATGAACCTCAGGATCAAAGGGTGGGCTCAGTTCAGCGCACACTGTGTCTCACCTAAAAAATCCACTGCGCAGGCTCGAAGGCCTTACCCGCATTTGCAAAGCCCTGTATCACCAGCGCGCTTGTAACAATTGTGGGTGGAGACCTTTCCCGGATCTTCGTTCGCGAAGACTGGCCATGATGATGATGAGAACATTCTGTATTTTCATGCAGAAAGATTATTGTGATAGCTGTACAAGTAACCCACTACATTCAACTCATATTAATCTGGACACTTTCATTGGCTTTAATAATGTTGCACCAGTTTGCATCAACTGAGTGAATCACCTGTGATTTTGAAGTTGTGTTTAGGAGCTGTAAGCTGTTTTACAAGAAAATACATTATTTAACTTCCTATCACTGATAATGAAGAGACTGTTAATTCTTACATTCTTACATTAACAGAGACTGTTAATTCTTAATCCCTGTACATTGCTTGCTGGTCTTAGTCAAAACTCTCTCCTAATGAACTCTAATTTTCACCCACTTTCCTTACCTAAACACATTGCAACTTTCTGTTTTGTTACACTATTACTAAGACTATGCTGCTAGTCTAACTCAAGGCAGTGTGAGCCTGGAGGGGTAGCTGAATATCAGGGAAAGGAACTTCTGGGTTGGAGCTTGGGAGGATGAAAAAAAAGGTGCTCTTGAAACTGTGTATGAGTGGTGTGGCCAAGGGAAGGAAGGATACTTGGGTTGGGAAATTGAGATTTCTGAGTATGACATATTTTTTTTAAAAAAGTACCAAATTGAGCTGTAATTTTAAGAGCTAGTACATCTGAGGTACTTTAAAGCACCTGGTTACTTTTGAAGTAGGTGTAATAATTTAGTCCTGTGGCAATGTGGGCACTTGCTAGACCTTTTTTATCATTGTGTCCAAGAGCAACCAAAATGTCCTGCTGAAAGCACTAAAGGGTATACTACAATTCCCACTTCTGCTGCTAGAGATCTGTAAAATTTTGCACTGAAAAAAGAGCTTTACTTTTTCAAAAACATAAAACCCAGTCAAAACTAGGATAATTTTAATTTATTATTTGCATTCCAAAAGCAGCTGAGACCAAGACTTCTGTGCGCAATGAATGGTCCAAAACCATAACAATTTGGCCCCTACCGTCTTTAAAATGTGAGTTTAAAGTCTGGTAGGAGCATGAAAAAACAAATTGGAGGTGAACATACAGATGAAGCAAAAGGAAGGAAAATAATGCAATACAAAATAACCTGCTAAATAGTTTGACATTTTTCCTACCAGTGTTTATATAAGCATAAGAGCACAGTAGACTTCTTATGAGGATTGATCATATTGCTGTTATTCCTAGTATTGAAAAAACATTTTTGTTCTCCCTTAAACCCTGCCTTCAAGTTGTGTGACGCCTTTCCCACAGTACATCCTGGGGCACATGCTAGATTTGGGAGTTCAGCTTTATGGACCGTCTTTTGTGTTCTATGTCTTTTGGGCTTGACTAAAGGTGCACTGAATATTGTTCATCCTCAAAATCTGGAGATACATTCTGTGGTCAATGAACAGCTGGACGAGTTCCAGAAAAAGTTGTACTCTTATGTGTTACTGTGCTGGCTGATGTTCTTTTAGCTTGCTACTGAGACACAGCATGTGAGCAGATGAGGCAAATGGCAACATTTCACAGGAAAAATGCAAATCAAGTTCATCTTTGCTTCTGCTTGTTCCCAGGAAAGTAGTTCATAATGTTATGTGTACAATGTCAGATCCCTGAATTTACTGAAATTAATTTTCTTTAGTTATCACACCTTTTCCCCCACTATTATTTTCCTACATGATTACTGCCAAAGCCTACTTCTAAAAGGAATGGAAACTGCACAAAATTATGTCTGCAAGCAAGCATCTTGCCTGATTATTTATTACAATATTCTGGAGACTAAGGGAGGTATTTCTGCTGCAATATTTGTTAAAAAATCAAATAGACAAATTAATGGTCTCAGTTGTCACTGAATATTTTTTTCCTAAATATTAATCATACCATTGTGCTGGTGTACTCACAGTATAGAATAGATTTGCTCCCTGTCCATGATGCAGCGAGCAGGTATTCTCCCAAGTCTTAAGTATTTCTAGGGTTTTAGCAAGGCTTTTGTGGTTCATAACAATCCCCAGCTACTATTAGAGACGACTTAAGGCCATAGATGAAATTTGAAGTAGCCACTTTGCCCAACCCCAGCTGTGTTACATATATCTAGTTTACATGAAGACTGCTTAAGAATGTAACCAAAACATGAACCAACAGCATGAAAAAAAACCCAACTACTTAGAGTCTATATGTCAGAGGAGAATTGCATTTTTTAAACTTCTTGCACGAGAGTTATTTTGAACCCTTTCAAACACTGTGCTACTTTTGCTATATATTCTATCCTTTAGTCTATCCTTTTATTTCATGTTTTGTAACGAAGGCCCGCATATCCACACAAAGTGTCTGTGGAGATCTGGAAGTGGCAAAACTATCTTTACACTCTCCCTTCCACATCACCAACACATTGTCACAGAATCATAGAATCATCAAAGTTGGAAGAGACCTTCAAGATCGTCTAGTCCAACTGTATGTTACATTAGTAATTTTTCCCTCTATATATGTCAGTAGTAAGGTCAAGCCCCAAGCAATTAAAGATATATTTATAAAGATGGTGCCAGCGTTTTGGTTGTCAGTTGCATAGCATTTTCTCTTCATCCTTCCTGCTGAGAGTGGGGTCTGTCTAGAGTAATTTTCCTTTGTTTAAAACCCTTCCAATTCAGGATGTTCTGTGTTTCCATGAAAATTTAGCTTTCAATTTGAAAGAACTTGTTTTTGTATACATAAATTCATATGCATGTTTAAAAATAGGTTGTTTAACACATATGCTCTTTTTTTAGCCTTGCCTGGCCTTGTCATATCTTTGTGATACACTCTGCATCTTCCTGGGATGCTAGGTCAACTTTGAGAATTAATCAGATTCACAAGTCAGCTTCTTATCAGGAGTATAGTTCTACCAGCATATTTGTTTCGGATCACTAACCCTGAACAGATCTGCTGGGAGAGCTACTGCTAAAATGTACTCTCCCTTGCAGATACATAGGAGTAATTCATAATTTAATTTGCATTTGTTGGGAAAAGCAAACAGGATTGTTCCAAGTTAACATCTTTGCATTAGTGCTACAGAAGAAAGCACCATAATGCGCCTCCAACTAAACCATCTCTCTTGCACTGACTGGCTAAGATGGGCTGGCAGAGATGAAAGGTCTACTTTCCCATAGTAAATTAGATTTTAAATGTACTGCCTTAGTATTTATTCCTTTCAGAGCTCTTAGTTGTAAATGAGTGGCAGCCATGGTTGTACAGGTGTTCCTCGGAGGAAGGACAGTTCCTTGCTACATCATGGCAGTAGATTAAAGCCACAGTCTGGTCCATGAAGTTCCAAGAAGCAAATGATGAAACACAAGAAATTCAGAGTCTTTCAGTACAAAATTAATGATTCTCTGATAAAAATAATATTTCTGTCATCATAGTCTCTACTATTTTGTCTTATCTTTAACAGGACAAACCTATTTTTTTACTAGTTTTAATATTTAATATTTTGACTGTATTTAGAATTTATCATACCTTTTCCTCAGTAAAGTAGGTTCTGATATTAATTTTGATCTTCTGGTACAGATTAAGGAGCACCTCGCTAAGGGACAGAGGATGTTGGCTGGTGATGGCATGTCCCAAGTAACCAAGACACTGCTGGATTTAACGCAGAGGAAAAATTTTTATGCTGGAGACCTTCTAATTTCTGTGGAAATTCTCAGAAACGTTACAGACACATTTAAAAGAGCGAGTTATATCCCTGCGTCTGATGGGGTGCAGGTAGGAGAAACATTGGTAAGGTAATGTTTCATTACCCAAAAAAACCCCAAACAACTGATGGAGCTTTTGTCAGTACACTGCATGTCAACTGTTCTACCCACTGAATGATAGACATAAGCAGTGTTCACATAAAAGTAAGATACAAGTTTAAAATAGGAAAAAGACTCAACTGCATTTAATAAGACAAATATCTGAAACAATGCATCAAGTGAAAAATGTAAAATACTTTCTTTGTAACCTTCATTATCTTTGTCTTTCAAGGTTTGGTTTGATTGATAGGGATGTGTTGGTATTTTTTTGCACTAAGCATTTCACTAGTGTTGTTTGTTCCAGTACATTTCAGTTCAAAACTAGTTCATTTTTAGTTCAAAATCTCTCCACAATGTTATGTTATTCTGGCATCGCTTCTTCATTTCAGATAAATAAAGCTCATTAAAAGTGCACAGGAGTGATGGATAGTGCATTTGATATGAATTTTCTATTTCACATGTTAAATTAACTCTTCTTGTACAAGAGGACAAAGAAAACGCTGTCAGAGCTAAAACCACTATAATTATTTCTAGATAATAGGCTGCACAACTCATTCTGTAGTGTTGATTAAAATAAATATTACTGAGGACTTCTAAATCAGGATATTGGTTTCATCTGTATCTGAAAATCTAGACATTTTTCAAAGGTTGTAGATGTACTGAAAAAGAATACTGAGAAGGTAACTATATATATTATTTATGAAAAAGAGAGCTTAATGATCATTCATAAATTACTAATGAAGTTATTAATGCAGGTCACGTATACATATTTGTGTAATAGCAAACAGATTATAAATACACTTGGGAATGTATGCATGTAGATGAAGGGAGATATCTTGGAAAAGACAACTTTTCCATAGTTAAGTTTTCAAGAGCTTGCTGTTGCTTTTTACCTTTTCTAGTTTTTCTATGCACAAAGAATGTTAAATTCTGCAATAAAACCAACATTTCTTGTGTTTGCCTGTAGCCAGCTAAAAGTAATAATTTTTTTCAAACAGTGCTTTTGAAAAAGCATTTTTAATGAACAATCCTTTTTTTAATTGAATGAGAGTCTATCTTTTCCTTCTTTCCTGGTTTTACCATTAAACAGTGTGTTGTTCACTGAAAATTTTTCATGCAGTCAGAAATCTAATAGCCCAGTGTGACTTCTTCATGGTTCACAGGCACTACAGAAATCTTAGAACCAGTCTCAAGCAACTGCTTGACACAAGTGATTTTGTTCATGGGCTTAGCAGATCAGGTCATTTGCGGTTTACATACATTACAGAGAATTTGATTCTTTTCCCACTAATAATGGCACCAAAAGTTCTGTTCACTTCAGCAATGTAGAGATGTTTCCAAAATTCGTAACAGTATTCTGGCAGAACTTGGCAAAATTATTAACTATTATTTAAATAATTTTTAATTAATAATTTTGAAGTGAAGACATTAAAATTCATGAGCCACATTCTGAAGGAAATAAGGAAGGATTTCTCAAATCAAAGAAAAATAGCTATATTTCAGTATTTGCATGCCTAAATACCAAGAATTCTTAAATCTCAGCAAAAAAAAAGGTACTTAAACACAGTCAGAAAAAATGAAAGTTAAAAAAAATTAAAAGAAATTTCAAGCTAAGGTAAAATAAAAAGAAAACAATACATGGTGTTCAGGAAAGTAAATGAAATCAGAATCAAGCATATGTTTTGCCCAGGGGATATATTTAGCAATATTCCCATTACTGACATCTGATGATATAAAATGAAATCCTGTCTCAGTAACATAAGTTTAAAATTTACTGTCAATTTCTGAGAAACATGGATTTTTCCATATGTAACAATACTTCATGTTCTACCATGCTCTGTAGGACTGTATTTTCTTTTTATTTTTACTATTATATATTTTCATACTTTCTAGTCCATCATCAAAGTAAGTGACAAAATGATGAAAACGAAGTTAATTTGCACAAAAATTCTTCTTTCTGAAGAAGTCCTGTGTGGTGTTCTAATTACATTCTACATTTTGAACTAGATAGAGAGCAGAATTTTTTAGTTGGTGGATTTCTGTTTTAAAGAAATTATCAGAAAAGAATGAGTGAGGTTTAAAATCCCTGAAAATCATAATTTATCGTTTTGCATGATGTCGGAAAAGTAGGTTAGGATGAATTGTGGGTAACAGTACTTTTTAAGACCTGAAAACAACACTTGCATTAAAACTGAGAAAGGAATCCTATATATGTCTGAGTATATTTATTTCTTATACATTCCGTCCATCTGGATAGTCCCTCAACTGCCTATAATCCCTGTGTTATATCTAGTATTAATATTCATGAATAGTGCAAAAGATGTGATTCAAAGATTCCATAAAAAAAAAATGAACAGAAAAGTGAGATCAAATTTGAAAATTTCAGACTAATTACTCAAAATGAAGGTGCTACTGCCTGATATGCTGCATAGTAAATGTCACTTGTTTAGGCAGACAGATACCAAGAGCAAAATAAAATTTCTAAAGTATACATATCTAGTGGCAAGTTATTTATTATGCAACTCTTTTGCCTTTTGCATCTTTTAACCTTTTTTTTGCAACAATATTTATATATACATTTCATATACAGTGTCAGGAACAAAAATAACCCTGTATTAGGCACTTAAACAAGAAGCTGTCCTGCATCAGTGACTGAAAGTTGCAGTACAGTAACAGACGTAATTGCAAGACGAGTCATTCAATTCTTCTGCAAGCAAGGTCTTTCGTGTAGTATGTGAATGACACTAAAATACCCTGTATAGGTACACTGAGGTAATGAGATGGCCACTGTACTTATGTAAGAAGGATTCTACCAGGAAGATAATAAAAATTCTAAATAAACATAATATAAGCTATAATTTGAAACACTATTCAGAACTGTTGTAAAAGGGCTTGAGCTACCTTTCAGGACAGGATGGCAAAGTGAGTTGTACAATCCCCTGATGCAGCTAACATGAAACAAAGTTTATCCCCAAAGAATTTAAAGCAATATAATCCCATTTATATTAGCCACAGGCCCATTGCTGTCAGTCAGGGATTAAGAGGATTGTCCAATCCTTTTTCCCCCTCCACCTTCCTCCTCCCACACACATATTTCCCTATGTTGAAGTCCAAAACTGGAGGTGACTTAAGGCTATCCATTAATTCCTCTTAGGGAGGAATTCTTCTCTAGCTGTATAAAAGGATTTATGACAGCTTTATGCCTGCAGAGAGGGTCAAAGAATTTGGACTGAAATAGAGAACCGCAGCCATTGTATTATAGAAGAAAAAATTAAAAGGAAGGAAATTAAATTAGGAAAAACATAACTGTCCATTCCCAACTGTAATTGGCATTATTATCAAAAAAGCCTGGGCAAAAATAAAGGACTTCAAAATTTGGTTCTGGCTGTCCCAACATTTCTTGTAGTGGCCAGATCAGTAATATTTAAGCCCTGCCATGAAAGGAAGGAGCTTCAGTCTCCAAGGACGTCCAGCATTTACTGAAGTAATACCTTCGGATCACATCCATAATGCTGCTAAAATTTGGCCTTCATACTTGTCAATCATTTTACTAAAGGGCAATGTTGTTTCTTGCAGCATTCATGCAATAAACAAAAGAATAGTCCAAGTAGAAGAATGAATTTTAACCCTTCCTCTCCTGTTACATTTTTGGACTGCATCTCATGTCTATTCATTATTGAAGCAGGAAATCCATTTAATCATCCTCTTTTTAATTCGCAAAGCACTGGTATTGCTGACTCAAAAAGCTACATACTCCACTGCTACCATAAATATGACATCAACCAGTGATAGAAATAGAAAAAAAAAGATCTCAAGAAGAAAGACATTCTTGTTGCCCAGTTCATCATTTATGGTTTATTGGCAATTATGAAGTATATATCAAGTTATTGCTCATCTTTTGTTTGTGCTTGAGTCTAGGATTATTGATAAGATTTTCACATTTATTTCTGTCAATAATTGGTCATTTTAATGCTTACATGTACCTAAAATAAACATAAAATTTAATTAACACATAACATTATTAGCAAACCCATGTAATAGATCATCTATAAGAAACATTTTAACTCCTGAGTGTTTTTCAGGCAATCTAGGCTCCTCTCAGATAGCTCTCATTGCATGGACATGGATACTGTTGCTATTAAGGCTTAACCTGTTTCTGCAGGGGAATCGGTGGCTGCAATGTAATGCAAAACTAGCTTCAAACCAACTCCCCAGTATGATAAATTATCCCACACTGAGTTCCATGCTGCTGCAGCTAGACGGCTGATGACACCCTAACAAGTTAAAATTAAAATTTCTGTCAGCTACGTTTCTACAATATTGCACTGGAAGAGTGCAGAATTACCGTGTTTTGAAAAGCATTTTCCTCAGGCAAAATCTTCATAAGGTTGACTCTACCTAGTAGAACTCTTCTCCAAAATTACAATGCCCTAAAGTAAAAGTGGTTATAGTGCCATGAAACTGCCTTGGCCAGTTTAGTTTATTTTACCTGGGGAACCAGTGAAGATATACATTTTTCCTAGATGAAATTGCATCTGCACAATTGTGATTTGCTGACCTGGTTGAACTGGCATAATCCTTTAAAATAAATACTAAACATAACTCCTTGCATTGTGCTTAATTTTTCTACTGAAGGCCTGAAAGACATTAAATGTATTCCTGGTATATAAGCAATACATAGTATGTATATCCTCTTCTTATCTTCAGCTTGACTAGAAACTTTTCTTCAGTAATCCTGCAAGTTGGATCAAACCATGAGAACATTTTTCTTTTATGTCCTTTCGTTAATCCATTTTGTTTCTTCTCATTACGTTTTTTGTGTTACTGAAGCTTACGGATATTTTGCTACTGACTTCAGTGAGAGGAGAGTTGTGGCCTCATTAATGTCCAGAATTATTTGATCCAAGTTCAGCAAAGTGTCAGTCACCTCTATATTAAATTTGGTCAAGTTAAAGCAATTTATATCTGTGTGAATTTTATAGTTAACATAGTTAACTTCCTAGTGATTAGGCAAAGATAGATCCTCTTGCTTGTCAAGCAGTTAGTGTTAGGACTAGATTAAACTGGGGAACTGTTATAATGTAAAAATAGTTTTCACAAGTTTTATTCAATTTTCTATCCTAAACTGTTTTACTTATATGGTTGTGAGACACCTTAAGTGTCTGTGACTTCTCATATTTTGAAATTAACGTCTTTTCAAGCATATCAAACACTAAGGTCGGAAGTTATTTCTGCTCTAATTTTTGTCCCTGTGCAGTTTGTACTTAATAATGAGTTAAAGTTACTTCTTACTTAAACCTTATTTAAGTCCTTTTTATCCCCCAAATTGGCTAAAAACTAAGTGCAGGTGAAGTAATGACCATTAATCTGAGTTCCGCAGGGTCCTGTGGTTGGTATTACGGTTAAAAATTTTTTAGAGGTTGGGAGAAACTTATTGCACTCTTCAGTTAAGGTTAGTGGAAAGTACATGTATCTTTTATGAAGGAACAGATAAATTATAATTGGCAGGCTGTAGACAAAATTGACATTCTGCACAAAATGTGATACAAAGATGAGAACAGACTGCACAAATTCTTAGCTTTTAAGGATGAAGAAGTTTGGAATACAAATTGATAGAGAGAACAGACAAAATTAGAAAGGAAATTTCTCCACAAACATTTGGAAGAAAATGATTTTTAAAATGTATGATTCAAAATCGAAGATGTCTTAGCTTTTTCTTTTTCCCCCTTATTCTTAAATGAATAGGAGAATCAGATAAAGAAATTAACAGGCTAAGGCCAAAGAATCAGAAACTATTGCTTTTATGTTGAAATTCCTAAAAAGATAGAGGTAGATGTAACATTTAAAACTAAGAGGCACTTGGTTTCAAACAGTATTTACCAATGAAATACCATTATATGCCCTATGTTTGGTTATTAAGGATAATTTTTATGGTTTGAATAGAAACTAAAGACCCCAAAGCTGGTGTTTTCTCAACTATACTTTGGGTTTTTTGAAAAATATATAGTTGTCTTGTTTCTGGAATGAGAGCAATTTCCAAATAGAACACCATCACACTTAGAAGTTTAGCAAGCCTAAAATAGTTCTTTTTTTATACAAAGCATTACTACGGAACGTGATTATATAGCCAAAAATTAACAATTAACCACGTATTATGTGCCCTATATTTTGTTACCTCATCTCTTCCACTGACAGAAAATAGGCTGCAGAACTGCATCTGTAATAGAAAAAGGAAAGCTTTCTTTATGTCAAATTAAGGATATGGTAGTTTATGCCATTGAAATAATTTTACTTTGTCTTTTATCTAATTGATTTTTCAGAACTTCTTTCAAATCATTAGTAATCTCTTAGATGAAGAAAACAAAGAGAAATGGGAAGATGCACAACAGGTAAGATATTACAAAGTGTAATATATGGTTTTAAAAATCAGGTTAAACATGCACCCGACAGAAAATCCTAAGCAAGAAAATATTTTGGAAAAAACTGATCCTTTTCAAAAAGGAGCAATTTCAGGACCCACTGGCTAATTCCTTAGATTAAAAGAATATAAGGTGCTTCTCTTGATAAACAGATTTTTATTACATTCCATAGGATTATTCACTGTGTCTTTGCTTTGGATGTTGTATTGAAGTACATACAAAAACTGAAAAATGCTATTAAAGGCTATCTGCAGTGCTGCTTTTGTTAAACACAACACATCAGAACTCACCTAAAGACCTCATATGACACCATCAAAGAACTTACAGAAATGTAAACAGTAGACCTTTTCTAAAAGGTTGTATTTAGGAGAACAGTTGTAATTCTCAGACTAACAAATTTCTCAACTAATTTAGCTATGATGATAGCATTGTATAAAATAGGAAAATGTAGCAATAAAAAATCACTATTTTATAATAACAGAGTCTAAAATTCAAATAAAACCCTTTTTTTTGGATATAAGAATTTCCTATAGGCTTATACCAAGAAATTATAAGACAATAATTACGTCATTATAAAAATATAATTATTATATAACTATATAAATATATATATTATATAAAAATATTTGTTAGTGAACATAACCATAATACCGTCAAATTTATTTACATATTTACAGTGACAATGGGGATTAACATAGTTATGTACAGAGGAAAAATCATGGAGGTGGTCAAAGCCAGGGAAACATTTCTATATAAAGAATGCTTAAACAAAGCAAGGTGTTTCAGTATGGGAAATAGTCAAGTGTGCTTATGTGCAATAGAAGATTTTAAAATCAGGAGTGGTTTGGAGAATGCAATGTGTTGTCTTCTTCTACCTCCACCTTGTCTACTTACCCATGCCTTGTCCATCATCTGTCCCACAAAGAACAAGAAATGATTTAGGAGGAAATTCTGAGAACATGGAGGTAAAAGAGGGAAAACAAATCTCCAGTTCCCTCCCTTCCTTGCTGCTGGCAGAAGAAGTGGTGTTAAAAAATGGAGAGGGGACAAGTTATTTCTACTCTTCCATAGCTCCTTCTCTCTATCTCACAGCACTGGTAGGCAGGCAGGAGCCCAAAAGAGCACCAAGATGAGCTGTACACAGGAGCAGTGGGCCCATAGCTACCTGGTTATAAAGCTTGAGAGTTCACTAAATCTTAGAGTTCTGAGATATGACCCCCCCGAAAAAACCATACTGCTGGTCTTATTACTGTTCTTATGCAGTTACACAGGCAGTCTCAAAGAAACTTTGGAAGCGAGTAACCTTTCATATCAGCTATGAAGGATAAGCAGGATTCTTATAAGATTCTTTTTTACTTTCACTATTGAAAGGAAAAAAAAATCCTATGCAGAATATTATTTTCTATGATATTTTGCACAAAACATTGAAAATTTAGGGTTAAAAAGAATTGTATTATAAAACAGAAAAAAGTATCGCTTGAAATTACTACATCCTGTATGAAGATTTTTTCAGGTTTTTATGTCAAAATCAAGGTAGGAACTGAACTTGAAAAGAATCTGTGCAAGCCATTATGTGCTGTGAATACAACCCAGTAAAAACACTATGGACTAAAGGTGATTCTGTTTCTGGTTCAGCCACTCAAACAAATTTTCTGCAAACCTAGGTGCATTCTAACCAACCTTTTTGCCAGCTTGCATAGTTTTCTTAACCTCCTCAACTACTGTTAGCATAGTTCTCTTAGCCTGTTTTCTGTATTCTTTGCTGGAAAGAAAAACTTACTGTCAGCAAATTGCTGATTTCAGTCAAGTGTACAGCTGCAATGCCTCAGCACATCTTTTTTTCTAGATTAAATGCTAACAGTTGATACCATTAATTACAGGTTATATAGGATTCAGATAAGCAACTCACTTTAACGCTTGCCTTTTTTTTTAAGAGCTGATGTAAAGCATAAGCTTTAACACAGGAAACCACTTCAAGTCCACAATGCATAAGTTTTATACCAGTGTTTCAAAACACAAGAACTGTTTTGCATATTCTTAATTCATGATCTGCTGGCATCCTATTGATTAACCAGTAATTCAGATATATAAAAATGCAGAGTACCTCTATAAGACTAACTGCTCAACAGTTTCTGCTGAAGTTATTACTATAAAGTTTTATGTGGAAGAACTAGGGTTTAAAAAATCTTTTCATTGAAATTTTTCTTTAGTACATAATCTGTTAGTTTGTGTACTCTGAATGAGATGGATGCAAAAACCACACTTGCTACCTCAGTAACTCATCATTAGGAAAATGGAAGTTAAATCTCCTTCACTTGAAGCAATATTTGCAACCTCTTAGGATAATAAATGTCACAACAAATTCTTCTTCAAAATAGTATTGCTGCCCTACCTTTTATAAAAGATCCATGGAGAAAACAAAGCACATTGTGAAATTTGCTAAGTAATTCCAAACAGTTATGGATATAGATAGATAAAGCAAGATGACGATGGAGTGCAATATGAAGCAATTTATAGTCTCTATAGGCATTTTTTAGAGTCTGTAGTCCCAGCAGTGGAAAGAATGGGTTGAATATTGCTCATAAAGTAAATTTGGATATCTCACTGATATGAAGTAAAAAGCTCCATGAATGGGTCATCCATTATTTTTCTATTACTGAAAATTGTCTCGTTCATAACAGGCCATAAAAAACAAAAAGAATTTTTTTATATATGTGATATGAACAGAACTTTTAAGCTTATTAATAACTGCTTTGATCTTTAATGCTGTTTTGCTAATGAATCATTATTGTTGAATATAAAAAAAGTTAATGTTTTTGTGATCGTAGTAACTTACAGCTTTGCAAATAAAGTTTCTTGGAAATGTGCCAGTCCTTATCATTTTGAAAGTCAAATTGAGAGGCTACATTAGCAACACCAAGGCTACTGCAATTTATTTTAGTTTACTGTGTCCAGTTCTAGTGCAAGACATGAACATAATGGAAAGAGCCCAGCAAAGAACCATGAAGACATTTAGGGGATTAGAACATCTGATATTCAAGGAGAGGCTGAAATATCTGATGCTATTTTGCTTGGAAGAGTAAGGGTCCTGGCAATACTAAAAAATCTTGAAGGGGAGGGGGATTAAGGAAGACTGAGCCAAGTCTCAGTGGTGTGCAGCGACAGAATAAAAAACAAGGGCAAAACTTAAAATACATAAAGTGCCATTTATATATAAGAAAGACTGTTTGGCTGTGAGAGTGATTGAATGCTAGAACATGTTGTGCAGACAGGCTCTGGGGTGTCTGTCCTGGGAGACATTCAAAATCCAGCTGTATGTGGTTCTGGGCAGCTTGCTAGAGCTCATTTTGCTCTGCACAGAGCAAATGATCTCCAGTGGCCCCTTCCAGCTTCAGCTATTCCATGATTCTACTACTCCACATCAGCAATGAAAATAGAACTACCAGTAAAAATTTATATTACTTACACTTTGATTAAAGCAACAAAATTTATCATCCTGGAGAGGGCACAGTAAGATTTGCATTCAGCCATTTGTATGAATAGTTCTGAAGTTACTGAAGATATCTTCCAGAGGAAGGAAGAATATTTTAATTGGAATTCTTCTGTAATATGAAATGCTGTAACCATTAATGAAAGTAATGGCCAATAAGTTTTTGGTGCAGTGAGTTAGAGCAAACATTCCACAGTTCCAGTGGAAGTCAACAGTCCACAGTTGACTTCACACGACTTCCTGGGAAGTAGTGTCTGTTTGCATGAGGGTTTAATAACAAATGGGTTGTTTTACAGTAACAGAAAATGTTCCATTTTGAAACATGGGAAGAGAAGATGGACTGTTAAGTCTCACATTTTATTTGAATTTGCTGCTGTAGAGATTTTGATATTAAAACTAACGTCATGTCTGACCTTCCTCTGTTAGATCTATCCAGGCTCAGTGGAGTTAATGCAGGTGATTGAAGATTTTATACACATTGTTGGAATGGGAATGATGGATTTTCAGAATTCATACCTAATGACTGGAAATGTAGGTAAGAAATAGAAATTTCTTCTATCAAATTTATGACCTATTGAAAATCAGAAATTGCAAGTATATAGAGTTGCTGCTTCTATCACAATCCAAATTGGGCTGCTCCTCCTCCTCCAGATTATCTGTATTGCTTGATTATCTACTCTCTGGTTTAGCACACATGGAATACCTTACGCACTGGACTTTTCATATCTCAAGATCTAAATGCAAAGGTTCTGAATCAAAACTAGGAAAATACTCATCAGAATACTCTGAACTATGGGTATATGCTAGAGTGTTTCCAGGATATACAGTGTTTCAAATGTTAATTTATAAAATTGTGCTAATTAAGATAATATTTATATACTTAATAGCTTGAGAAATGTTTACTTTGTTCACATTATATCTTTTAATACTCCATTCTCCCAAAGAACAGTCTTTGCACATGTTATGCTGTGATAATAATCAGCATAGACAGATAATCAATAACTAAAAAAGGATCTATTAATTGCCAAAATAATTTAAGCCTAGAATTTCTTACATTAGTTCTTCTATGTGTGACAGTTTCAAAATTTCATTCAGATTTATTTTTCAAACTTTGTTTAAGATACTGGAATGTTGCTAGACAATATAGTCATATAATAACAAAATCAAATATGAAAATGCTTAGCAACTGAATTTCATTTATTAGTAGTCATAAATGCTTCTGCAATATTGCAGCATTTTATTAAAAATTCAACCAAAAAATAGTTTGAAAAGCTATTCTCTAAACATTTTGTCTTTGCTTAGTACTTTCATTGTTCAATTACCTTTCTATAGCTACACTTTTAAAGTGCTGGGAAAGCATTAGGAAGTTATATGTAATGAACGAATTCAAAATATGTGTTTGTCTGATAGCAAAACTGGTGTTAATACATTCTCTCATATTTTGAGTTAGAATCTTATTGCGATAAGTTCTTCAGCATGTCATTAGAATGAGTTAGAAAATATGGTCATTTTGAAATTCGTTGGCAGAATAAAGCAGGGAAAATGTTGGATTGTCCTCATTGAAAATTTAGCTTGCTGTGCAGTAGTAAATATTTATTACTGTTCTTCAGTTCATATTATAGAGTGACAGGACTGTAATACATTTGTCCTCTGAAAAATGTGAAAAAAACCCAAGCTGGAAAATGTTTTAAGAAAATGCGTTCAAATAATCTGTGTCTCTGTATAGTCATGGTTTTGCATGGGAAACAGCAACATCTTTTCAACTGAGTCAGGAACCATGCTGTGCACTGGCTAGTTTAGATAAATGCAGAATCTTAACAGTCTTATTATCTTTCTCTTCCCACATATAAGATATTTTTAGGCACTCAGGAGTAGGCCTGTTCTTAACTGTAAAACCATCAAAGGAATAGAAAGAAACTGAGAAAAATAAAATTAATTTATAGGTTTAATCTGACTACCTAGCTCTGGGCTTTGACATATTGGCATGAATTTATTCCCCGTATGCTTGGTCAACCATCAAAAAAGGATAGGGTCACTGCTGTGCAGATCATTGACCAGAATACTTGAGCTCAGGTGACATGCTGAGACGGGGACAGAAGGTTCTTATCAGCAAGGAGTAATTTCTTATTTTCACTAACAAGTAAGGAATGTATCTGGAATAATTCAGCTTTAGTGTAGCTGTCCTCAGGGGGTTGGCATAGCTGTCTGACTGCCTATGTACTTGGAATTTAGGAAACATTTATGTTGATCTCAGCTGAGAAGAATAAACTATGCAGTTGCTGACTTGTCTTAGCATTAATTATTCTGCACCACTGAGAATTTAAAAATGTCTGAGGTCTTATCTATAACAATAGATAATATTCTTTTAAATCATAAATATTCTTTTAAATCAACAAACACATTTAATGCAGGAAGCGGATATTGTGCATAAAGGAAACCCAACTTTATCTATATTCATCTTTAAACAGACCAATCCAATAGAATAGTTTAAAGAATAGAATCATTGAATGGTTTGGGTTAGAAGAGATCTTTTCCACTCACTCAGGTAGCTCAGACCCACATCCAGTCTGACCCTGAATGTTTCCAGGGATGAGGTATCTACCACCTCTCTGGGAAACCTGTTCCAGTGTTTAACCATTCCTGTTGTAAAAAAATTCTTCCTTGTATCTAGGCTAAATTTACCTTCTTTTATTTTATGACCATTAGCCTGTGTCCTGTTGCAACAGGCCCTAGTACGAATTTTGTCCTCATCTTTCTTATGAGCCCCATTCCAGTAGTGAAAGGCTGCAATAAGGTCTCCCTGGAGCCTTCTCTTCTTCAAGTTCAACAAGTCCAACTCTCTCAGCCTGTTTTCATAGGAGAGGTGGTCCAGCCCTTTAATCATTTTTGTGACCCTCATCTGGACAAAAAATAGGTTCCTGCCTTTCCTGTGCTGGGGACCCCAGAGCTGGATGCAGTACTCCAGGTGGGGTCTCACCAGAGTGAAGTAGAGGGTCAGAATCACCTCCCTCAACCTGCTGGCCATGCTTCTTTTGATGCAGCCCATGACAGAGTTGGGGTTCTCAGCTGCAAGCGCATATTGCCAGCCCAGGTCCAGCTTTTCATGCCTCAGTATCCCCAAGTCCTTCTCAGCAGGGCTGCTCTCAATCAGTTCATACCCCAGTCTGTACTGATAACAGGGGTTGACCTTGCACAGGGTGCAGCACCTTGCACTTGGCCTAGTTTAACACCTTTTGAGGTTCCCATGGGCCCACTTCTTAAACTTGTCTAGGTCTCTGGTGTTGTCATCCACACCACTCAGCTTGGTGTCATCTGCAGACTTGCTGAGGGTGCGCTTGATCCTTTTGTCTATGTCATTGAGTAAGATATTAAACTGTACTTGTCCCAGTACAAACTCCTGGGGAACACTACTTGACATCAGTGTCCATTAGGACACTAAGCCATGAATTGCTACCCTCTGGATGTGACCATTCAACCAAATCCTCATCCACCAGAGTCCCCCCATCAAATCCATCTCTCACCAGTTTAGAGGGAAGGATGTTTTGGGGACCATGTCAGAGGTTTTCACTCTGTCATAGAAGGCCGATAGGTTGGTCAGGCAGGACTTGCCTATGGTGAACCTGTGCTGGCTGTCTCAAATCACCTCCCTGTCCTTCATGAACCTTTGCATAGATTCTATGAGGTTCCCAGGCACGGATGTGAGGCTGACAGGTAGATAGTTCTCAGTGTCCAGGGGTCCTAGATATTCCATAGTTATTTACCATAAAATATTCTCTCAGGACCTTTACATACTTTTTGCTGTATTTTCTGTGTCAATTCACTTTAAAGGTCAGATATATGAGAAAAGTGATTCAGTACTAAGTATGAACTGCTGCTTCTTTTCAGAAAAAAAAAATCCAATTTTGTAGCAAATTTCACAGCAATGCACTGAGTACTTTTTTCCTTCTACTGATTTCAGTTTACAAGTTCATTTCTAATTGAATGATGTTTCTAAGTGAATAGTGGTATATATACAATTTAAACATCTAATTGTGTTTGACAAATATGCTAATCTCCTGACTTCTTCCACAGAGGGGATTTTATTTTCTCTTCCTTTCAAGGCACACAAACAAGTAGCTGTGGCTTAAAAAGTTACTACACAAAAGCCACACTGCAAATTGTGACTGTCCACTGCATATTCTCAGTTCATGACAAATGGGAAATGATGAAAATTACCTTAACTATACAATAGACTATCAAAAGCCACATTATAATGTTTGAAAATAGCTGAGATACAAAAGGACGGTTGCCATACCACTGTTAAACTTTTCAGTGTGATGACTTTTAACTCATATTTTTCATTGCTTCTTAACAAAACATCAAAGACTGGTTTAAAATCCAGATGATCCAATATCTATAATTTAATAGGTTATTTAAGTAGCTCAGTAAAATCATATGTATTTCCATTAAAGCAAGGCCTATCTCCTCAGCTTTCCTCTCAAGGATAGAGAATATCCTATGATAAACTTAACAAATGTAAAAGCAACAATTTGCTTTGATCATGCATGGCTGGGACAGATGGTATTTGTTTTATTTGTATGCTCTCAGTTCTGTGCTATATTCCTTTAAGAAATGATTAGGTGAAATAAAAGCCTTTGAGAGGAGGTAGAAGCCTCCTTCCTCATCCTGCTCCTTCTCTTCTTCTTCCTCCACCTCCTCCTCCTCCTCCAGACCAGCTGAGCAGGCACAGGAAAATGATAGTGTGAACAAACAGAAGCTTTTGCTACCACTCAGAGTCCCTTAATTCACTGAAAGCACAGACCCACCTGCAAGGATACAACATGCAGAGGGAAAAAAATCTTTCAAACCATGTTGTCATTTTCTGTTAACTAATTGCTTTCAGTTTTGTCTGTTTTGAAAGTTGACTTCCTGATTTTAGATTAAAGTAATAATGTTGGCTTTTAATAGCCTTTTGATTTTTTTTTTGATTTTTTTTTTGATTTTTTTTTTTTTTGTTTTTTTTTTTTTTTTGGGCACTGAAGGCCAGAGCAGATCCGTCTTGAGGCTTTGGCTGATTTGGGGTCCCATCACAATAAACCATTGAGAGCTTTGAAGATGTGTACTAGATGGTGGGCAAACTGCTAAGAAGAAATATTCCTCCTTTAACTTAAAAAGAAAATTTCTAAACTGGAAGATTGGAGTGCCAGAGGCATATCTGTCTTTAAAGGTATAGGAGGAATGTGGAACTGGAAATAGGGATTAGTATTAGGAGATATGTATTTTCTACGGCAGATTAGGATTCCTCTGTCAGAGAAAATTTTCCCTGTGTTTTCAAATATATTTCCTTAAAAGCAACAGCCAAAAATTGGTTAAAGGACATTCTCTTGTCCAAAACCAAGCTTACAGCTCTTAGTTGATATTAATGAGAAACCAAATAATCTTGAAGTGCAGTGTGTTGTCATGGATGAACTGACAGAAAATAAAAAAATTTTCAAGTGGAAATCCACTTTTTGTTAATGTTAATTTTGTGAATAACAATGTTTGAATGATCAGTAA